CGGCTTGGCCACGTGGGCCGGCCCTTTAGTCCTGGTTGTTATTACCAACAGGGACTAAATGTTTTCTTTTTTTTCTTTTTTTTTCTATTTTCAATTGATGATTCGTTTTGGTTTTCGAACAGGTTTTCGAATACGCATTCTACGCTGCTAATAATATACGTATTCTACACGTTTATAATGTTCGAACATTTTGTACAAACTAAAGTATGAAACTAACGTATATATTACATGCATATACATATATTGTACGTTATTTTATGTACATATAATATGTATATATATATTACAAATAAAGTTTACATTGTATATTCTATCATATTCTTGGGATAACAAATTCACTCCATCTGGTTTGGTTTCCATGTTTCGTTCATATCATTGTAGAACTCACCGGCGGGGTTTAAGACCTGGTCATTAAGAAATCCTGCCATGATCTCTTGAATTGTTTTCAGTTGGTCACGTCATATGACTTTTTCCTTCAACCATAGAGTCTTCAATAAAAGTTAAAGGAAAAATATATATATATATATATATATATATATATATATATATATATGTGTGTGTGTGTGTTGGTCACGTGATTACTTATATATATGATCAATAAAAGAAATTGTGAATATATGAATATATTTATATAACGTACTTTGAGGATCTCTTCAAGAGTTCTTTTTGAGTACGCCATGATGAACTCGTAAACATAGTATCCGCAATAGTTGGTCTCCTGTTCTTGCCTCAGAACCCACTTTTACGAGAAAAAAGATCCGGTGAATTGAAAGCATACATGGTGTTAATTGAATTATATATATATATATAAATGTAGCTAGTACTTACTTTGTGTGCGATTACATCCAGTGGCGCTTTGCAATGTTTCATGTGGTGTTCCTCAATGAAACTTTTCCGAACACTGCGCCCAATAAAATAAAAAATTAATTTGGCCTTTAATAATTGTTGCAGTTAAGAGATCGGGGTATATATAGTTGCTAGAGAGACCAAATTACCCTTGAATAATATCTATCATGTCTTGGTACTCTGTTTGCTCTTTTCTTAACGAGTCTAAGATGCTCAATCGACTATTGGCCATATCGATGGCCATCAATATCCAGTGATTGCTGCATATGTTTTTATACACAAATATGATCGACATTAACTAGAGTCAACATATATATATATATATATGGGAGATAGCTTAGCTAGTAAGCAAATAATTGAACAAATGTCCATATGATCGACATTCATTATTTAACACTCACTTGAAGTTGTAGGGGAAGAGTATGTCCTTGTTTTGTTGGTTCACTAAGAACCTCATGAGATTTTTCTCGAGTTCAGCTTTCCATTCAGACGGGGGATTAGGGTGTTTGAATAAGACATTTGGATCAACGAAACCAACATCATTATCCTTTCTCTTTCTGAGTTCTGTCATCTCATATCTACATATATAAAAATATAGTGTGAGGATATATAATTTATATATATACATGTAGCTTCATATATATACACTTTAATAGTAGAAAATAATCACACTTACAAACAATAGCAGCTAATGAGACTTTTGTTGAGAGAGTCCAGTGGCATAGTTGGTGTAATTATGAAAACTTGACATATATAACGTCATCGCCACATAAGTAATGTTGGTTTCTAACTCTGACAGAAACAAAGGTCTCTTCCCGTTCACACGCCGCCATGTACCACTTGTTTAGCATGTACATTTGCGTACCCAGTTCACCTAAGGCCGTAGGATTGTATAGACTCTTTTCATGTTCAAATTTCTTCCAAGGATCCACTTTCGGAGCAGATGGTCCTTTAGCGAGCACTTGGGCAAGGTCCAAACCAGTATCCTCGTAAAACCAAACCAGGTCCTCAAAATCGACGTCCAGTAAGTCTAAGTTTGAACCATATTCATTACGAATGATAAGAGGGGGGACTGATTGTTGTGATTGTTGTCCGAGTTGTGCAACACCTTTCCCTGCTCTAGTCTTTTTCTGCGCCGCCTCAAATGACTTGGTGAGAGAGCGGTCGTAATCTGATTTTGGCAGGGTCTTTTGAGATTCCCGCTTTTTCTGGTCCACCTTCTTTCTTAGAAGATCTAGAGGTAGGTAGAAGTACGGTTTCTTCGGGTTCTCCCTCGCTTCTCGTTGCTTTCTTACTTTTTTGAAGAAATTGTTCACATCTTTTTGTACTGCAGCATTTAATTCCTTTTCACTTTTCTCGTAAGACAGTTTTTGGGGAATAACTGGATTAGAGGAGGCTTTCTTCTTTGCCGGCTGGTGGGCCAACGGCTTCGTTTGCGGGGCAAACCTCTTAGGAGCTGGCTGCTTCTTGGTCATCAAGGGAGGCGTGGCAGCCATTGGAGACCTCCTTGGAGGTGTTAGAGACCTCCTTGGAGGTGGCGGCGGTGGCAGCGTTGCATAATCATTGCCCGGAGCACTATGATGATCTGGAGATTGAATAATTGGACTTAGGTTGGCGGAGGCCCTGCTGTGTGAGTACAAAAAAGAATAATTAGGTATAAGAAATTGTTATTATTAATCATACATGTCAATAGAAAATTAGTGAAAAAATTATTTCGTTTACTTTTGTCCGCACTTATTGTCTGGAAGTTGAGGAAGCGGCGGTGGACTAGAGACCCCGGGAATAATGATGTAGCGCTTGCGCCATAGTATGAATGCCTTCTCTGTTTCTCCTAGAGTCTTCTCCTCATCACCTCCTGGAATGTCAAGAGCCAGATTACTAAAACCTTTGTTAACTCTATCCACTGAGACGCTAACATATCTAGGTGGTATTATTGCCCCATGGATTCTTGGTGTCTTGGTAGGATCTGGAGGAGAAAAAACACCGAGAGCCACCATGATTGTGGCATTTCCTTTTGGAATATGTAGCTCACATGATGTAAATGGTGCAGTGATGTCATCTACGGGAAAACATAGCATTGCGTCATCTTGATTTTGCAACTTCGTGGAAGCGCAACTGCTTTTCAATTGATCAGGGGGGCTAATATTAATGTTGATTCCTGGATCTGATGCCTGCCTTTGGGCACTCATTGCTATTTGCACTTGCTTTATGATTTCCTCTTGCATTCTAGCTTGCATGTCTTTTTCGCGCTCCTGTGCTTGAAGCAACGCCTCCCGTGACTCACGAACATATTCCTCCAACCTACAAATCCGCGCTGCTTCCTCATCATTCCTTCTCTGCCGGCTTCTGTAGGTATCTCTGTCGTTAGGGAAAACCATGCTCCCAAGAAATGTTCCGACCTAAACCTCTTGTTCGGCCACTGTGTTCAGCAGTCCTGATGGCATACGTCAGTTCATCCTTCTCTCTATTGGGCCTGAACGCACCAATAGCTTTAGCTTGTAGAGCATAAGAAAATTTTTGTATTGCTCTTTCAAGTTTTGGGCCATGAACCAGCTTCCCGATCTCTATGTCCAGTCTTCCCCCATGAGCGAAAAACTAATTCTTCGTGCGTTTGGGCCAATTGAGTGATTCTGGTGTGATACCCTTGACAAGAATGTCCGCTTCCATTTTTTCCCACTTGGGAATGGCAGTCGCGTAGCCACCTGATCCCATGCCATGGTGGTATACCTTCTGTCAGGCATTCTCTTGGTTCCTACTCACCCGTTCCTCACCCTCTTCCGATGTCTTGTACTGTACAAAATCATTCCAGTAGGGACTCAACTTCGCGAGCGGGCCCCTAGTATTGAAATTGGGCGTTAGGTTCTATCTTGACGTATTTCGTGTATAGATATTTCTTCCAAGTCTAGAATTGTGTGGCCATCTTCTTCATAACCCACTTTCGAACTAGCTCCTTCAATTCATCATCGTTGATATCATCATAATCATCCGCTTGCAACGTGAAATGTTGAAGGATATCATCCCAAATTAAATTCTTATCAAGATCAGAGACAAAACTAACATGAGGCTCGTTGATCTTTTGCTTCCATTCACGGGCACTGATCGGAAGTCTATCCCTTACAAGGTACCCATAGTGTTGCACGAATTTCCTTGCATGTGGACCAAGTGGTTTGCCTGTCTCGATATTGAATTCCGATATTATGTAGCGCCCCTCCAATGGCTTTTTCGGGCCTCGAATATTTTTGCTTTTCGCCGTTGTGGTCGTCGATCTAGAGGGCTACTATAAAAAAAGAATAAATAAATATCATGTGTACACATAATAGATGATTGATATTCAAATATATATATATATATATATATATATATATATATATATATAATATTCAAATATATATACCTCGCCAGTATTTTCTTGCACAATATTTTCTTGCTTATTTTCAAGAGCCAGGTATTGACTCCCGTCATCTACATCCTGCTAGTCACCATCGGCAAATTGAGTGCCGGTGTTGATAATATCCATTATTTCTTCATCCATGTTGTCTCTCGGGGCAGCCATCTAGCTTTTACACCACTAGATATATCTATAAAAAATAAAAACCACATATCTATAAAATGGATCGAGTCATATGCTTAAAATTAATTAAATAACTACACTCGAAATTCAAGTCTCCAAAGCATAACTTTGATTTCTTATTTTCTAGAAATATTTATTGGCAAGTGATATATATAACAAATTTATATATATAACAATATAAATTTAAAACTCTCTAATATGTATAACAAATATATATATAACAATACAAATTTATAACTCTCTAATATGTATGTATAACAAATTTATATATATATAACAATATAAATTTATAACTCTAATATATATGTATAACAAATTTAGATGTATGTATAACAATTCGATGAAGTAGCATAAAAATTGACCCACGATTCGGTATACAAATAGTATAAATTTGCTTTTTTGGATTAAATATCAGTTTAATGTCTTACAGTATTGTTATCTTAACGTGTGATCCGTGTGTTTTTAGTACAAAAGATTAGTTGTCCTGTAGCAATGGACGGACACGCTACCTATTACTTATGATATTCGTATTATCCATTTGTATTCAATCCAATTTTGAAAATAGCAGTGGTACATTTTGGCCATGGCGGTGCTCCACAACCAGCGTACCCATATACACAAAGAAAGAAAGCGGATCTTCGGCACAGTGGAGCAGCATGCCACGGCCATGGCACAGCAGGCACAAGAGCCGGCTCGATGGCTCAGCGCAAAATCACGCAACAAAAATCGAAGAGCCATATCCCATTATAAGATTGCCGGCACGAGGACTCGGCACACGCATCCATCTGATTACAAAAGGGGTAATAAGAAGAAAAGGCGGTCACCGTGGCGGCTTGGTGCAGATGTAGGGATGGTGGAGATTCGTGGTTCGGTCACCGAATTAGGCGATGCCGGCTCGCGGTGCGCCTCGACATCGGGCTCAACCGTCGGGGACGTCGGGGGTGTTGTCGAGGGGGTAGCTGACAGCTTGTGGACGAGGCGCCATGTGGCCTAACTCGGGGTCCGGATCGACGCAGACGTGCTCGTGCTCCTCAGCGGCGGCGCTGGACTCGGGTCCACCGGTCTCGGGGAAGATGAGACCCGTGGGATGGGAGGGGGTCTCGTAGCCGGCTCCGGGGCTCCTCGTCCTCGGTGGTGTGTCGGCTCGGGCGGTCCTTAGCTGCGGCGTCAGGCTCGGGCGTGGGGAAGGTGCGGCAACGCTTCCACTGGCGCTGTCGCCCGTCTCGCGGAGGGGGAGATATGTCAAGGGTGACGAGGGCGGCGGCGGCAGTGGCGATGGGCGACGAAGATGAAGAGTGAGGAGGAAGAAGAAACGGCCGCCTTATATACGGGAGGGACCTTTAGTCCTGGCTCCTTAGTCCCACCGGGTAATACCAGCCAGGACTTTAGTCCCGGCTAGTATTACGAGCAGGGACTAAAGGTGTATTTTGGCGGGCCTCAAAAAATGCAGCCCACCTTTAGTCCCGGGTGGTAGATCTACCCGGGACTAAAGTTGGGCTGCAGTTTCACTTCCCGCCCGTTTCAAGCTCCATTTGTTTTTTATATATTTCTTTCTATAAAATGTTAAAGTCTTGTTAATTGCATAGTAAATTAAATACAAGGCATAAAATTGTATTAAAAGAATATGGATTTACTTTTGCTTTATTGCACACAGGAAAATTATGTGACCTAAAGTTTTTTGTTTTTTTCTTATAAACATTGAAACATAATGTCATTAATAATTACTATTTCGTTAATGCAAAAATGTAGTGTTTAATTTAAATCATTAAAACTTTTGTTTTTGATTGGAAATTTGTTTTCACATGATTTTAACATAAATCTTTTCATTTTTTCATCACTCATTGTCCAAAAGCGACATGGAAATCCCACCATCAAACACAAATTTGATCTGAACATAGAAAAAAGGAAACACCTAATAAACATCTCTGAATTCATAATTATTACATAATACCTCTAATACACACTATTAAACATCACTATATATATCAAGCAGGCACAGTAGTGAACTTCTTAACGTATATCCCTTGGTTATGATCGCGCCGTAACCATGTAGTGTCCTCATCATTTAGCTGGATGCTTGGGTTTTTGTTAACTGTGAAGGGTGGAATTCGGTCATCCTTTTCATAATCTTCTGATATGTCTGGCTTGTCTTCAATTCCGATGATGTTTCTTTTCCCTAAAAGAACTATATGGCGCTTTGGCTTATTGATTGGGTAGTTGTTGTTTTTCCCTCTCTTCGGTTTTGTAGACATGTCCTTGACATAGAACACCTGATTCACATCCTTGGCAAGGACGAACGGTTCTTCTTTGTACCCAATATTGTTGAGGTCCACGGTTGTCATTCCATACTGGTTGTCGACTGCTACCCCGCCTCCAGTCGCCTTTACCCATTGGCACTTGAACAAAGGTACCTTAAAGTAGGTGCATAGTTTAGTTCCCATATCTCCTCTATGCGGCCATAATATGTTTGCTTATTTCCATTAGGGTCCGTGGCATCTATGCGGTCACCACTGTTTTGATTGGTGCTCCTTTTATCTTGGGCTACTATGTAAAATGTATTCCCATTTATCTCGTACCCTTTGTATGTGAGGATAAGCCATGATGGCTGCCTAGCCAACAAATACAGTTGCTCATCAATACTCTCATCACCCTGACATTCTTTTCGCAACCAGTCGTTGAAAGTTTACATGTGCTGACGCGTAATCCAAGCTTCAGAGTTCCCTGGAAACTCGGATCGGAGCAACTCTTTATGTGTCTCGATATATGGATCCACCAAGGAGGAGTTTTGCAGAACTATGTAGTGTGCTTTATTAAAATAATTGTCCGACGTACCAATATATGGTTTCTTCCCTAGTGTCCCCTTTCCACTTAGTCTCCCCTCGTGTCGTGATTCAGGAACACCAATCGGGTCAAGGTCGGGAATAAAGTCAACACAAAACTCAATGACCTCCTCTGTTCCATAGCCCTTGGCGATGCTTCCTTCTGGCTGAGCACGGTTGTGAACATATTTCTTTAGGACTCCCATGAACCTCTCAAAGGGGAACATGTTATGCAGGAACACAGGACCGAGAATGCTAATCTCCTTGACCAGGTGAACTAGGAGGTGTGTCATGATATTAAAGAAGGAAGGAGGGAACACCAACTCAAAGCTGCCAAGACATTGAACCACATCATTCTATAGTTTAGCTAGATCCATTGGATCGATTGCCTTTTGAGAAATTGCATTGAGGAATGCACATAGCTTTACGGTGGCTAGACGTACATTTGGAGGTAGAATTCCTCTTAATGCAACTGGAAGCAATTGCGTCATGAGCACGTGGCAGTCATGGGACTTTAAGTTTAGGAATTTCTTCTCTGGCACATTTATTATACCCTTTATATTCGAGGAGAATCCAGATGGTACCTTGATGCTTGCTAGGCATTCAAAGATGCTTTCCTTCTCTTCTTTGCTAAGAGTGTAGCTGGCAGGATTTAAGTAATGGCGTCCATCATTTGTCTTCTCTGGATGCAGGTTGTCCCATTCTTTCAAACACCGCAGGTCCTATCGTGCTTCAAGTGTGTCCTTAGGCTTCCCATATACACCCATGAAGCCTAGAAGGTTCACACAAAGATTCTTCATCAGGTGCATCACGTCGATCGCGCTACGGACCTCTAGGACTTGCCAATAGGGTAGCTCCCAAAATATGGACTTCTTCTTCCACATGGGTGCGTGACCGTCGGCGTCGTTCGGAACAGGTTCGCTGCCATGTGCCTTTTCAAATACTACTTTCACATCCTTGACCATATTGAGTACATCCTCACCAGTTCGGTTGCCCGGCTTGGTCTGGTGGTCTGCCTTACCTTTAAAATGCTTGCCTTTCTTTCTTAGGGGGTGATTCATAGGAAGAAATCGACGATGGCCAAGGTACATGACCTTTTGACATTTTTCAAGAATATACCTTTAATGTCATTGAAACAGTGCGTGCTTGCATTATATCCCTTGTTTGATTATCCTGAAAGATTACTTAGAGCAAGCCAATCATTGATTGTTATGAACAACAATGCTCGTAGGTCAAAGTGCTCCTGTTTGTGCTCATCCCACACACGTACACCTGGTCCATTCCACAAAAGTAGAAGTTCTTCAACTAGTGGCCTCAGGTACACATCGATGTCGTTGCCAGGTTGCCTTGGGCCTTGGATATGCACTGGCATCATAATAAACTTACGCTTCATGCATAACAAGGGAGGAAGGTTGTAGATACATAGAGTAACAGGCCAAGTGCTATGACTACTGCTCTACTCCCCGAAAGGATTCATACCATCCGTAGTTAAAGCAAACCTTAAGTTTCTCGTGTCATTTGCAAACTACGGGAATTCTCTATCGATTGCTCTCCACTGGGATCCATCAACAGGGTGTCTCAACATATTGTCTACCTTATGGTCTTCTTTGTGCTATCGTAACAACTTTGCATGGTCTTTGTTTCTGAACAAATGTTTCAAGCGTGGTATTATAGGAGCATACCACATAATCTTGGCAGGGATTTTCTTCGTGGGACGTTCGCCCTCAACATCACTAGGGTCATCTCGCCTGATCTTATACCGCGATGCATGACATACCGAGCATGCATCTAACTTCTCGTACTCCTCACCACGGTAGAGGATGCAGTCATTAGGACATGCATGTATCTTCTGGATTTCTAATCCCAAAGGGCAGACTACCTATTTTGCTTCGTACGTAGTGGCGGACAATTCGTTATCCTTCGAAAGCATCTTCTTTTGGATTTTCAGTAACTTCCTAAATCCCTTGTCAGATACAACATTCTTTGCCTTCCATTGCAGCAATTTCAGTGTGGTACCCAACTTTTTCTACCCCGCATCACAAGTTGGGTATATCAATTTCTTGTGATCCTCTAGCATGCGCTCGTTCTCCTTTTCACTTTCGCATTCTCTTTGTGCGTCACGAATGGCCTGACCAAGATCATCAGCGGGCTCATCTTCTGTCCCTACCTCTTCTTTAGCTCCCCCCATTGCAGTATCATTGAAGGCACCATATTCAGCAATAATGTCATCATCGTCCCATTGTTCTTCTTCACCTTCTTCCTTTACAACCCCGGTTTCTCCGTGCTTCGTCCAACAAATATAGTTTGGCATGAAACCCGACTTCAACAAGTGTGAATGAAGACTCCTTGAGCTAGCATATTCCTTCAAATTCTTACATATGGCACATGGGCAGCACATGAAACCATCGCGTTTGTTTGCCTCGGCCACACGTAAGAAAGAATGCACGCCCTCAATGAACTCTTGGGAGTGGCGATCAGCATTGTACATCCAATGCCGGCTCATCTGTATTACATAACATACATACCATATTAAAACCTAGAACATAATTAGTTAATTATACGATATGCATGCCACCACACAAGGTATTAATTTATGAAAGTCTCGCTACAATGTAGACAATCCCAACTACCACTAAAAAAACTAAAGCTAAAATGCACTTCAGCAGTATAAGGATTTCGCGACCAATCCCAACTAAAACAGACAGATCATGCGTTTGTTCAACATCTATGGGATTCTTCCGTAGGATCACTGCCTCATCAGCCACCGTAGCCGCCTGTGTAAGAGAGTTTTGCATGTGTTCAACATACTCTTCCTCCCAGTATCAGCCTGAACATCCAGTGCCATCCCACTAAAATTAAAACAAAAAATAGAACTTTAATCACAATCATCATGAAAATAAGTATAAATTAACCATAATCATCAAATGCAACAAAATAACTCACATTGCGATCCGGACACTTGTAGAAGATACGGCTCTTGTTGGGACACTCCTTCCTCACCCGGTACTCTATCACAATCTTCTCCTCATACTTGCCGCAAGCAATGAGAGGGAGGTCCGGCCTCAGTCGCTTTGGACCCGATGAGAGGCCGAGGACTCAGAAGCAGTTGCCATCTAATCTCTATACTTATTTTTAATATAATATAAATTTCTCATTTTATAAACAAATAAAATTA